CAGTTGACATGTGGAAGCAGAAGAATTTTTCATAAAAAACACAATAAAATAAAACATAACAAAAAAAGATATGGACTAAAGCTAATGTTGGAAACCAACATTGAGATCTCAAAAATAGAAGAATCCAACCAAAAAAGATGTGCCGGCAAAGAAATTCTTTATTAAGGAACCAATCGAGGAGCTCTTTGGGGAGGCGCGAAGGGTGAGAAACAGAATCTATAACTGCAAGGAAGATATCCTTGGGCTGAGGTTGAGTAATTGAGATAAAAGCCATCACAAAGCATTATCATTGAATACAATCAATAAAGTTGGATGGAAATAAGATACATAGAAATCTCCAATTTCAAGGGAAAGATTAAGGGCAATCAACCAAGGTTAGAGGAGATTGACGAAGTCCACAAGGCCCTTAAACAAGGCCTAGGTTTGAATGTCCGAAGGAGATGATGTTGTGACTGGGTGTGAGATCACAAAAGAGATGAATATTATGGAAGGAGACATCGACATTAGGCCAAAATATGAGGTTACTTGGACCGACAAAGAAAGGATTTTGCAAGACGTGCAATCATCAGAAAGAGGATGATCAGCATGAAACCAAACGTCTATAAATCATGGGTAGGAGGCGACGTCGCAAGAAAGAAACCAAAGCATAGTATCTATATATTTCTATAACCTACATGCATATTCATTCAAAAAGGTAGAAATCAAATAAAACACTAAGTATGACTCCATACCTAAACACTATGTTGGAAAAATTAAGATTTTGGTATTAGGAGTTAAAGTAGTAGGAAAATATTTCTCAAATTCATATAAAATTTACCATTTGAAGTGTATTAAATTGTATTATATTATATCACATCAGGCTCCTAAAAAAAAGGGTTTTCCATTGATGTTGCAACAAAGCATAAGTTCATAAGAGGTAATACAAATGATTCCATATATACTAGTAAGCAACAAATGGTATATTAAAAAATTCAAAAGATAGACAAAAATATCCTATTTTCTAATTTACTAAATAATAGGAGCATTGGGTCCATAAACTATTATAGACTGGTTACCTCAGAAAGGTGTCCTCGAAGAGGATATCTTGCAAGTTGCATGGGAGCAACACATACAACAATATGCATAACGAATTCAAAAAAAAAAAAATCTTACCCAATGTTTTGAAAACCGGATCGGACAATGAATCAGAAGGAGAGGTTCATAGTTCGACCGGTTCGATCAGTCGAACCGGTAGATGTAATAAATAATAATATTATAAAAAAAATTAATAAAATTAAGATAATAATGATGCCAATATAATATTAAAAATTTTATAATTCTGAGAATTTTGAGACTAAAAAATAAATAAAATTCATACATATATAATAAATTACATAATTTTAAAATTAAATATAAATAATTATTATATTTATATTCGATATTTAAATATAAAGCCGAGGCAACCCTTTCGATCCCTTCAGCACAGAGAGAGAGAGAAGAGAGAGAGAGGAGAGCTTCTTCCCCCATTAATCTCCGAGCGTCATTTCCCTTTCTTAAGGAGGAAGTTACTTCCATTTGATCGCAAGCAAAAACGGGAGCTCGCTGTACTCTTTATACGCGGTTCTTCGGCCAATCCTTAGGAAGAGAGTTAAAAAAACGCATGTGCGAGAACCCAAAAAAACAGCGGGTCGGGTTCCGGCTCTTTCTTCGCTGCTACGTTGGCGCCTAATACATTGGTGGCCGAACGTATAGAGACGTACGTTCACTCCGGACAAATAAAGTCCATGAGGTGAAGGTATCATGTTTGTATATACCTTTATGTATAAACATTAAACAACTTTAAAATTATATATCTATTTAAGTTAATTAATTATTTAAAAATATTTATATTATAATTGAACTGATGCGACTTCTTAAGACCCGGCCGTTCAAACTGGGTTCAAACGGTTTCCACCGGTTTGAGTTAGATCGGTTCTTAAGAGGACCGAACCGGCCGTAGGACCGAACCGGCTGGTCCGTCCTGATTTTCAAAACCATGATTTACCACAAAATAAAATCAACTAGTCAATTTAACATGTAGACATGTTTATTGTCCCAACTTAGTGTTAGAGAATAAATAAAAATGAGTGTTTAGTAGATATTAGTTGTTATTAGGATTATTAGGTTTTAAGAAGTCTATAACTTTTTTTTT